TGTGGCCAGCTCAGCCCACCAGGGGGCGGGGCTGGCTGGCATGTGGTGCTGGGGGATTGAACCGCGGTCCCTGTGGTTTGCTAAGCTTGTTCTAAATAGGTGCTTTAGACCACTGAGCCATCTCACCAGCCCCAGTGCTTAGTTTTTCAATTCAGTATTTAGGGGTTTTCTTTTTAAGCTGCATTTGCATGTGTATATATGCAATTCTTTGTGCATTTTTATCACATATACATTTGTGAGCTGGCTCCACACTTGGAATAGGGAACTGTTCCATCTCTGCAAAAGAAGTCCTTAATGCCACCCACTCCAGTCCCACGCTTAAGCTCACCCTCTGGCAATAACTATCCCTTCTTCACCGCTTTTGTATTTGGGTGGATATAGTTTCTAGAGAGTTACACAAATGGAATCAGACAGTATATCCCTTTTAAAATCATATTTTTCGGAGTATAAAGCTCTCAAGGTCTATTCAGGTTGTTGTACTGAGCAGTAATTTTTATTGCTGAGCAGCACCATATTATAAAGATGTATTAGAGTTTGTTCAATTTTTCTGATGAAGAATATTTAAATATTTCTGACTTTGAGTTTCTTTTGAAAAGGCTACTGTGAATGTTCATGTACAAAATTTTGTGTGCCAAGTTTTCATATCTGTAGGATATATGTCCAAAAATATGATTGCAGCCTTGTATGCTAAGTTTTGTAGGAAGCGCTCCAACTGATTTCCAGAGTGGCTACAACTTTTTATATTCCCACCACCAGTGTGGGATACCCAGTTTCTCTGCCTCTACACCAATTTTTGGTACAGTATATTACTTCTATTTTCATTTAAGTTGTTATAATAGGTTTATAGTGATATCTTGTTGTAATATTAATTTGCATTTCCCAAGTGACTAATGAAGTTGAACATCTTTTCATGTGCTTCTGTGGGGCATTATAAATTGTTTGAAAAAATAAATATATGTATTCAAAAAGATATATAGATATATGCATATATATTTTGCCCATTTTCTAATTGAATTGTTTGACTTTTGCCATTGAATTTTGTGCATTCTTCATATATTCTGGACACAAGTCCTTTGTTAGAATGTGATCTGAATGTATTTTCTTCCTGTCTATGGATTTTCTAACAATTATCTTTCATTAAGAAGTTTTATATTTTGATTAAGCGTAATATTGCCAGTATCTCCCTTTATGGATCATGTTTATCCTTCATTTGTAGAGTGTATGTCCTTTCATTTACCTCAGTGTAATAGCTTTAGAAACCATGACCGCAGGCCATGATTGATGACTGGGTATTTTGGCTTCTTTTATAAACAAAGGAGCCCAATGTCTGAGCCTAATTTCAAGCAGTGAGTGCATATTCAGCCCTCACATCTTTGATGAATACTTTGCATTTGTGTTTACCCCCCTAGAGTTGAGCTCCTTCTTTTCTCTTCTTATGGCCCCAGAGCCCCAAAAGTCTACAACTTTATTATATGTTTCTATTCATGCTCTCCATGAAGATATTAATCTGTTTTCAGCATTACTGCATCTTTTAAATTTTCACATTTGTGTTTCTGTTTCATTACTTTGTGTTTGGAAAGGAGAGGTATCCTCAAAGCATGAACTTATAAAACCATCCTGACTAGAAATCCATTCTCTCCATGACTATATGAAATTCTCATTTATTTGTGTGTGTCTTAAACTGTACATGTACGTGTGTGTCTTAAACTGTACATTCTCCAATTATGAGGAAAACTTCTTGACAGAATATTTTTAGTCTCATTCAATACTGAATATTCTGTTGATAAATTTTTGTTAATGAAGTGAAAACCTAGCAGTCACTGTATACATGGTATCTTTTCT